TCTTTTTTCTTATACAACAGTCAACAATATTATATCATTGTATTCAAATTTAATACCATCCATTATACACAGTGACCCACTTGTAACCTACTGCACCTTTCTTAAACGTTATTTAAATTTTTTAATTCAATTGTAAATAAGGAATTTATTTTTTTTTTCAAAAAATTCTATTGTTATTGTAGCATAATTATCCACACTGTTATGTAAGAAATATGAATTTAGTAGGATTTGTTTGCCAGGTTAGATTACCTATTCTCAATCCACCAAGCGTTTTTACTATTGTAGTAATAAGCTAACTGATAAGTTAGTGTTAATTTAGGTGTTGGTTACTTCAATAACCTATAAAGTAATATTTATTAGTCACAAAAATTTAATACTCTGGTCTCTGAGCACTAGAAATAAAAATAAAATGGCATGAATGGTAGAAAATGAGTTTAATAAATTCTAATTATATTACCCCCTTGACTGCTTGAACAATGTAGGTATACAAAATAGTATTTAGTTAATCTAAATAGCAGCTTAAACATTTGAAATGATCAATATAACTCTATAAATCATTAATATAATAACTCACCAATTAGTGTTGCATTTTGTAATAGGGTAGGTATTAGACTTTTTACCTCAAAAATGTAATAATAAAAAATATTAAATAGTTGTAATTTACAACTAATATTTTATAGATGTACCTAATGAAGTTGTAATTTGTATCTATAATTATTGACACTTTTTTATGTACTGAAAATTTCGTTTCTTAGTTATGGCTGTAGCGTTCCTTTCCGCGCAAAACAGTTTTTGCTATGTTGTACTTTGTAAGACGGAGAGACACATGCGGGGGCAACGTCCTCTTAAATAATATTATATTATATTTATACAGGGGTATGCGTATGACTTGGTATTCGCATTATCACTGAATGTAACTGAATAATTATTATATTATATGTCACAATTTTCCTTTATAACGTTTGATGTCGCAGAAAGTGGGGCTAAGCCCAAGTGGCGTAATTTGGGGGTTGAATGCCTGGATAGGAGGGATTTCCCGTGTCTGATAATAAAAACAGTCCGATGGGTCTCTATCGTCGTCAATTTACTTGCAGAAAATATCTTAGTATTTGAGAATATTATGATCATTGCTCAATATAAATTCTATATTGAAAATAAAGTAAAACCAGTTAATAAATCGAATGATTACATTTTAGTTAGGTACATATTTAATTATTTGTGCCTATAAGGCTGTATGATAAATATGTAAGATTGCAATTATAGTAAAAAAAAATGTTCTATGTAACCACAACAACCTATACTGGCTAGGCCCCCACAAAGCACGGGGCACCATAAAGCGAGATACCTTTTTATGCCTGAATATGTCAATAATACTAGCCAATTTATAAACTATTGTTGTATTCTACCTTACTAAACCATACAATTGTAAATTTTTATATATTTAGTACCTAC